CACGAATAAATTAAAATGACACAAATGCTTTGAATTACGTACGATTATTTTTGACAGTGATTTTATTCCATAAAACCCACCTAAAAAGGGGTTAGAGCCGCCCCTGGTATAGCGTGCGTAAATATACTGAAACATAAATATATAACAAGTTTACCTGATTCAATGTGATGGCTGAGCCTGTTTCTGAGATAACAACATGCCAATCCGTGGTTGGATTTCCGACACGGCTAATCGTAAATCATTTTACACTGTCAATAAGCGTGGCCAGGGTTGCCAGGTTTATACAACAAAACCCGCCTAATTGCTACTCAAAACTAGCCCAAAACTACTACTACTTTTGATTTAATGGCGAATTGCGACCCAACTTCAAAGGTGCATATCGCCACCTACTGTGATGGAGTGTGAAAAGAATGAACAAACCCTCCTATATCCTATATTATATAACCCACTATTCTTAATAAATCTCATGACTGCATGTATTTGTTTTCCTGAATTTGGACCGTCATTTAATATCTGATGTCATGCTGATGTGTGCTAAAAAACTCTTGCGACGGCGAGGCGGCTGTGTCGGATTGCGCAGTCGAGCACAGTTGCTATCCACCGACTGCGCTGATGGGAAATGAATGGATTTATGTGGTTTCATGTGATTATGTATTTAAATTATGCATGGATTTTCCCAAACACTATGACGTACTCTGTGGAAGTGCTCTGGGAAGATTTGCATAACGCCGCCCAAATGTTCACGCAAAGAAAGAAGAACTTTCATTCTCACTGTAGTATTGTTGTTGCCGCCGCAGCCATGTCGTTAAGGCGCTGTGTGTTTCGTTGTGAAAGCGAAACTACTTTGTTTGGCCTTCCAAAAGAGGACGATATCTGCTTCGTCATGCCTGGAGCTGATCCATGCTGGTCGCTGAGGAAATACATCAACTTTGCGCTGTGGATCGCCGGATCAGTCCAGCCCGGAGTCGTCACCTGTGTTTGCTGCAAGCCCGCCGGACGCTCCTTCGTCGAATAGTGCTGTTCTCAAGCCCGCCCGCCTCTGCTCACTCAAGGCCGTGGTGTGTGACGCTGTTTCGTTGTGAAAGCGAATCTACTTTGTTTGGCCTTCCAAAAGAGGACACGACTAGAAATCAGTGGTTAAGTTGTATTAACAACACTGTTCCAGAACAGTTCAACCTAAATATTCAGATGTGTGCAGAGCATTTTATGGAGGACCTTTCCTGATCCTGGTAGAGTAGACTACAATGCCGGCTGTTCTGACTCACAGACTGTAAGTACGTTTTTGTGCGATCTCTGTGTGAGATGTGTGATTGTTGTCATATTTCTATAAAAATCTAAAATAGCCTACATGTTTGTAAAGTAAAAATTAATGATAGATACGCCTTTCGTATGGAATTAAATAGCAAGCACTTTGAGTGTCTTGTTTATCATATTTATTTTTATATAAAGGCAACCGAGCTGAAATCATATCATGTTAATCAGCACATGAGTGAGAATAACGCGATATCTGCCTTTGATCTCGTAGGCATCTGTTCCACTTCGAGAGGTCAGAACTGTCCATCTTGACTGCGCTTATTTCACTCCTCCCCTCACTGCAGCCGCCTACTGTCACCTACATTTCAGGCGAGGCCAGGCGCATCTCAAACAAGCCTAATGCAATGCAAGCCTGCAGAGCTTCGTCTGAAAGTACCTGACATTAGGCTTGTTCGAGATGCATAGGCGCTGCGCAGAACGATCGGTGTATACATGTCATATTTGATGTCATACACCGATCGTTCTGCACAGCACCGATGCATCTCGAACAAGCCTATTCTCCATACGATAAAAGCTTCGAAGTCGTGCCCTGCATTCAATTCGGAAGGGCTCATTCCTATGCCCTAATCCCTTCAAAGGGTTTACCCTCCGGAGTGAGAGCTTTGAAGGGTTGAAGGGTGTAGGGCAGTGTTTCCCAACCAGGGTGCCGTCTGTCGAGAGCAGGGGTGCCGTGTAAAAAATCCTTTTTTAATATTTTTAAATGGCTAAAATGTTCAAAAAAGCATCTATTATATAATATCCATTTCTGATGTCGCCAATAATTAGAGATGCACCGAAATTTCGGCTGCCGAAAATTAGTTCACCGCTCAGGTTTCACTTTCACATGGTGTGACGCTCTGCGTATTATCCCTCTCTATGCGTGTGCGCTCAGTCGCTCCATTCGTATACCGTTCATGCTCATCGGAACAGCAAAGTCAAAGAATAATAACTTTCTAGGACTAAACATTATTTGGATAATTGATTAAAATAATAATTTAACATCTTAACCCTACTGTTAGACCTACCTGAAAAACTAAAAAGCAATTTATGTAATTCGAAGGCCTGTCGTTATTTTTTATTTGTGCTATCATTATTAATTTCTTTATTTGTTCTTATTTTATTACAGACTGCTTACTTGTAATTTTTTATTCAATTCAAAGTTTGTGTATTTATACACATTTATTTATTTATTTGCTGATTTATTTATTTATTTATTTGTGTATTTATTTGTTTTTAATTTCTGCAGGTTTGGTCCTCCATACCTAAACAGCTGTATTCTAATTCTTTAAACACCTAAATGTACACTAAGAGCTAATCTTACCTACTATAATTAAACTATCTCTGTAATATTACTCCTCTCTGTCATAAGTGATAACTAACCCTTAAACATGTCCGAATTTGAAAAAGAAAAAGAATCACTTACCTGAGACGATGAGTGACCGCAAGGCTGCTGATCGGCCATTTTGGCGCCAGTGGTTTAAAACGGTGGCGGGGCGCATGCGCACTTCGTGGAATTGATTCATCTTCCCTCGGATAGTAATGCCTGTGACAATGATGACGTATTTTTGACAGTCCTTTCGCACACCGCAATTCGCATGTCGTGCGTGTAACAGCTGTTGTGAAAACAAGCGTTGTGTCTGTAAACTGTTATAGTCGTATATTTTGGAGTTGTACTCTAACAAACACACAAAATCTCGTATCTGTAAACTGTCGTGGCCGTAGATTTTGGAATCCAACTCTGACAAAAAACAGAATTACGTACAATACTTGTAAATTATGCACGAATAAATTAAAATGACACAAATGCTTTGAATTACGTACGATTATTTTTGACAGTGATTTTATTCCATAAAACCCACCTAAAAAGGGGTTAGAGCCGCCCCTGGTATAGCGTGCGTAAATATACTGAAACATAAATATATAACAAGTTTACCTGATTCAATGTGATGGCTGAGCCTGTTTCTGAGATAACAACATGCCAATCCGTGGTTGGATTTCCGACACGGCTAATCGTAAATCATTTTACACTGTCAATAAGCGTGGCCAGGGTTGCCAGGTTTATACAACAAAACCCGCCTAATTGCTACTCAAAACTAGCCCAAAACTACTACTACTTTTGATTTAATGGCGAATTGCGACCCAACTTCAAAGGTGCATATCGCCACCTACTGTGATGGAGTGTGAAAAGAATGAACAAACCCTCCTATATCCTATATTATATAACCCACTATTCTTAATAAATCTCATGACTGCATGTATTTGTTTTCCTGAATTTGGACCGTCATTTAATAAGCTGGTTGTAGTAAATTCCTGACATCCTACTACTTGTAATTCTTCTTTAAGAATCCTCCTTTCTATGTCATATATCTAACATATCTTCATAACATGCTCTACAGTTTCCTCTATTAAACAGACATCACATAGACCCGTGTTATGTTTCCCTATAATGTGTAAAGTATGATTTCGTTTTGAATGTCCTGTTTGTAAATGTGTGAAAATAACTTGTTCTCTACTTAAGTTGTGAATTATTTTGCTTTTCTTTATGGTTTTTTGAACCTTGTAATAGTGTCGACCTGTATGACATGAGTCCCAAACTGTCTGCCATTTCCTATTGCATGCTTCTAAAATAAAATGTTTTCCTTCTGATCTACTGAGTGCAATGTTTATATTTGGTTCTTTAATTTTAATTGATTCTTTGGCAATTTTGTCTGCTTTCTCTTTACCTTGAATTCCCACGTGTGCTGGTACCCACATAAATTGAATTATTATTCTCATCTGTCGTAAACTGTATAACCTAATCATGATTTCAGTTAAAATGTCAGTTCTATTTGTTTCCAATGATTGTAAACTCATAAGGACTGCCATTGAATCAGAACATATTATTACTTTATCAGGTCTAACTTCATACACCCACTCTAGTGCCATTAAAATAGCTATCATCTCAGCTGTATATACTAATGCACCATCTGTTATCCTCCTCACCTCAAACTCTGGAACATAGAATGCAGCCCCTGTCCTTCCAGTGTCTTTACTCTTTGACCCGTCTGTATATATTTGAAGAAATGAGTAGTATGAATTTTTTATATACTCATATACATATGCAATTAAACTAACCACTTCATTAATTTCCCTTCTGTTCTTATGTAATTTTATGTCTATTTCCGGTTGATCTATTATCCAGGGTGGAATTGGGGATATTACCACTATTGGGGAAAATTATATTGACTAGACCAACTTCATTTACCCACTCTAGCCCAAAACTACAAAACCGCGGACTTGGCAACACTGAGCGTGACTGATACTCGAGCCAACTCTGCTCTAACTGTCGACTTGCAGTGGGACTCGGATTGATCCCTAGTTGATGGCTAAAGATTTGTTAACTCATATTCATACATTCTCAAGAGAACGTCTCTGAATTAACTGATGCTCGCGCCCCTCTTGACAGTTGCTGGTGCCCACAGGTTGAAAACCCCTGGTGTAGGGGGACCAAATAACTGTTTCTTGAAGTGCCCTTCTGCGTCATCATCACGTGCCCACACGGAGGCGCCGTCATCATGCAAAGAATCTGCGCAAAGGATCATGGGAGCCCGAAGTGTTCATCAGTTGTACCCTTCGAAATCCTTCATTCCGAAGGGCCCTTTGAAGTGGCCAGTTTTGAGCACTGCGTTTTGGAACGACCCTTCAATATTGCGGCCATGATTGTTTTCACTGCGAAATGCCCTTCAGAGGAACGCACTGAGGCGTGATATCACTCAAGAGAACTACAATTCCCATGATGCAACACAGCATATCGTTTATAGGACCCGGAAGAAATGCGCAATTGATGGTGTGGTTTTGCAACAGATATTCACTCTGAAAAACAGCTATAGATGGTGAGTTGTTATTTATGTTTATAATTGTGTTTATGCTTGTTGATATAGCTTTCCATTAGTATACATGTGGATTTTATTGAAAGATACTGCGTGTAAATTACCAGGATGAAGCTGTTAAGCTCGTAAACGAGTAGATTGCCTCACACAATAGTAAATCCCTTCGTCGATAAACCATGTATTAAACTAAACTCTAAACATGAGAAATGGGAGTTATGTAAGGCTGTTTCTTCAACTGCAAGCACTTTTATGTCCTAGGGTTGACTTTTATTTAAACAATAGCATATTTATCCACATTTTTTAACGTGATGATCTAAACTAGTGGTTCTCAACTTAAGTCATAGGGACCCACACTGCTCTGCACATTTTGTATTCTCTTATCTGACACACTCAGTTCAGTTCATGGATCTCTCTCTCCCAAAGAACTGATGATCTGAATCAGGTGCGTTTCAGCAAGTTAGAGTACTTTTTTTATTCTGTACAAAACCGTGTCAATGAAAAGCATTCTTGTTATGAAATGTAAGACAGAGAATCCATAATTTATTAATTTAATGTAACATGGGCTAAAATTGACTGTAGTTGAAGAAACCCTTATAAACAGTATGTCACTTTTTTCTAAAACATTTTTCCAGTCATTAAAGATTTGATTTTTTTACGACATAGTAAGTCACGATTCGTTTATATGATATATCTCATGGATCTCTCTCTCCCAAAGAACTGATGATCTGAATCAGGTGCGTTTCAGCAAGTTAGAGTACTTTTTTTATTCTGTACAAAACCGTGTCAATGAAAAGCATTCTTGTTATGAAATGTAAGACAGAGAATCCATAATTTATTAATTTAATGTAACATGGGCTAAAATTGACTGTAGTTGAAGAAACCCTTATAAACAGTATGTCACTTTTTTTCTAAAACATTTTTCCAGTCATTAAAGATTTGATTTTTTTACGACATAGTAAGTCACGATTCGTTTATATGATATATCAAATTTTTGATCTGCAAAACAAAAGCTCTTTTCCATTAACCAGCATGTTGATTCTTTGCAGAGATTATGGCATCTTCCCCTAAAGTAAAGAGAACTACTAAGCCTAGAGATGGTGTACAAAATCTCCTCAGATCCCAGAAGGATGCCTATGCAAGACTTCTGAATCAGCATCAGAATGGCAAGTTTCGTTCTTACTTGCAAGAGTTAGCGAAGCAGCAGGTGGAGGAGAGCATGAGTACATCAGTTAGCAGGTCTGTGAATGTTGTGAGCAGGAGAAAAAAGGGCAATTCAGAGTCATCTTATTCTGTTGATAGCTTATCCTCTCAACAGAGTAGGCAGATAGCTGATGCCTCCATCTGTTTGTACACGGACAAAACCAGCTATCAGGTGACATGCACTGAAGACCAGGGCATAAAGCCTGGCATGCAGGAAAAGCATGCCATAATGGAGCTACATAAGGCTACTGCACCCAAAAAGGTACCCTCAAAACTGCAACACAAGAGAAATGAAAAAGACATCAAAATGAGCTCAAATCTGATGGGATCTGAGGAAGGTGACAGTCAACAGTTGAGCTGTTCGTGTGGGGAGGAACAAGCAAAGAACAAATCAAAGAAGAGATTAAAAGGAAATTTAGCGAAAAAAGACGAGGGGGAATGTGGTCCTGAAGTTGACCTCATTATTGCTGGGAAATCACCAAATAAAAACATCAAATCTTCTCAAATTCAAGGTACTTACTGAAATGAAGAGCCAGTGTCTCAAAACCAAGCCTTATTTATTTCATATATACAGGCAACGTCTACATTAATCCAGATACATTTGAAAATGGTGTGTTTGTTATAAAACGCTCTCCATCCACACTAGTATTTTCAAGTGTTTTCCAAAATTTCTCATCCACACTGTAATGTCAGAAAATGTTAAATTCGTTTTACTGCGCATGCGTAAAGCCTCAAAAAAATCTCACTGGGACGATACAGGTGTAACAGACATGCGTTTTCATGCTATTCTTCTGGCTGGATCAGTTTTAGGAAAATATCTCACAATTCACTGTCGCGTTCAGGTCGCTCTCACTCACGATTGTATGTCTGATCTAAAATGCAAATGCTGCCATGTATTGCTGCAAACAGTGATCGCGAGTACATTTTCTGTAATCTTTGCAGGACTGTGATATTAAGAGTGTACAAAGTAACACATCTAGCAATAGTGTGAAAGTGAATGGCACATAACAGGCACAATACCAGTATAAACATGGTACCATTATAAACATATTGGTATTGGTTCAGTATGTGTCACATGACTAAACATGCATCATCGTTCTCGAAAGGCTCCTTTTTCACAGTCCACACTACAACGTGAAAACAGCATTTTCAAATGCATCTACTTTGGAGAGCGTTTTCAAAAAGCTCAGTTTTCCTTTACAAAAACAGAAAGATGCGTTTTCAAACGAAAACGTGTTGGTGTGGACAAGGCCTCAATGTATTTGAATTAGTTTGCCAATGCTGTTTCACATTGACTTAATGATTTGTTCAAAATCAAAGAATAATTTTTTTTTAATTAAAGCAATATTTTACCCCAAAATAAAAATTGTCAGCTACTCACTCTCATGTTCCAAAACTGTACTTTGAAAACTTATGTTTCTTCTGTGAAACATAAAAGAAGGTTTTCTCAAACGAGTGTTTTTTTTTTATTTATTTTTTTTATAGATAGTGGAAGTCAATAGTTGGCATAACTGTCCAAACAATTATTTTTGTTTTGTGTTCTGTAGAAGAAAGAAATGCATACAGGGTTGGAACAAAATGAGGGTTAGTAAATAATAACAGAAATTTCATTTTGGGATTTTAAAGACATGAAATTGCATATTTAACTTTGGTTTTGATGTATTTCTTTTGGAAATGAGGGGTTGGGTGGAACACAAAAAAACAGGGCTTTTTTGTTGGTTGGTTTGTTTTATGACTAATAAGTCTTTAAGGTGCCATTCAAACTTGGCTTAAATCTGTTTTGGTGAGGGGTATCGCACCCAGCTGTTGCCCTCTTTTGTTGGAGGTCTGTCAAACTCACCATTGAAAATAGAAGAAGGGTGGAAACTCAAACAACTGTCTCTGTCATTTATCTGTGATTGCCTGCCATGCAAGCCCACTGAGTGCCATGAGATCATAAACAATTGTAATTGGCTGAATTTGTAATGTAAATTGTGGAGTAATTTTACTCACTCAATGTGATTTTTAGCTTTGTTAGTCATCAGTATTTTAGCCATTATTCCCGAAACAAAGACTGTAATTTTTAAATGTGTGTTTTACATGTTAAAAGTTAGGAAAACGAATCTGATATACACTAGTCAACATTTGAAGTGGATCAAAACCTTTCATCAAAGTTGTCCTAAAACCAAAATGTGTTCTTGTCTCAGAACAACTTTGAACTTTTTTTGATCCACTTCAAATGTTGACTACTGTATACATGGCTTCAAAGCTAATATTAAAAAAAAAATCATGTGACCTGAACAAATTTAGTTTTATTCCAAATCTAAATTTAAAAAAATGTTTGTTTGTTTTTTTGCATGTGAGCTGCAGTTTTTTTTTATCTTTGTTTTGCCTTTCTTTTTACAGCATCAAAGGAAAGCTTACCACAAAACAATAAAGATAAAGGCACTAAAGGTGGTAGAGGGTTCCGGAAGCAACTGTTTGAGCACTACATGTGCACTGAGGATGTTTCTGCAGGCCTGGAAAGAGGAGAACTCATAAAGGTGATATAGTACATGTAAACCTATACTTCTGGGTAGTTAACTGTACAAGCCAAGCAATGACCATGTTCTGCAGTGTGACATGCTTAACTTCTGAGCATCTAAAATGGTTTTACTTTTTAAAAACCTTTTTTATACATGTATAATTTGCATAATATAAAAAACAATGTGGGGAGAAAAAAAATATATATATATAATCGTAACTGAGAGGATGCCTGGAATATTTGTACTTTGCTGAATGAATTTGCAAAAAGAAAAAAAGCCCAAAATAACTGATTCAAAGTCATCTCTTGAAGCTTTGGAATCTTTAAGAACTTATCAAGCAAGAATTATGAAGGTTTTAATGAAATTGTCATCTTAATAATTTTATAGTATTATTTTCTGCTTGTTACCTGATCACTCTGGTAATGAGCAAGTAGACAGTGCTGCCTAAGAAGCATTATTTACAGAACTTGTAAAATGCTATACATTTAAAAACAAATTGCAGTCAGAATAGGATCAGTGTTAATTAAATCAATCCTGATGTTGGGACAAGATATGTATTCCCTTTTAATAATCATTAGGATCAAGTAATTCACACACGTTGCCAGATATGACACTCAAGATTTTAAAGTGCCCCTATTATGGGTTATGAAAGGTTAATTTTTTGGTTTTGGGAGTCCCCAACAACAGGTAGACATGCATGCAAGGTCAAAAAACACTTTCATTGTCTTTATAATATGCATTTATTTTTACCTTATTTACTCAACGACTTCCAATCAATTCGCTCAATGATTCACTTTGCGTGACGCTAATCTGCGGTGATTAGTCCAATTGGTCGATTTCATTTCCATTTCATCATGCCTGTATTGCCTGATAAAGCAGCGTTTGTGAGCGCAGTGCTGCTTTGTGTACAGCCGTTACCGGGGAAACCGCTATTTTTACCGCTCCAAAAGCCGCTATTTTTACCGCTCTGACCTTTTAAAATTCCATGACCCGTGGGAACCCTGCACTAGGTGCCTAGTGCAGGGTTCCCACGGGTCATGGAATTTTAAAAGGTCTATTCCAGACATTGAGTCAAGGAATAGGAATTTTCAAGGAATTGTATATATTTTTTGTCTAAGTCATGGAATATCAGGGATTTCCGTTTGTCGCTTTAAATTTTCCATTCATCAAAGTGTAATTTTTCTATACCGTATTTTTTTTTTATCACATTGTTTCACGCGTTTTGCCTATTGTTATGGTTAGGCTACATGGCTCAACAATAAGATGTGCTCGGGACAGTTGATGGATTTGTCACTTGCCTGATCGGGCTGCTGCTGTGTAGTCACGAAAGTTTATTGTTCATGTGTTTTTAAGCCTTGTTAATTTAAAAATTCAAGCGATTTTAAAAGCATTCGGGCACGAAAGACAACTGCATTCACTACTCGCGTGCCGTGTTCTGTGTGAACAGCCCACGTATAGACAGCTGCGAGCCCTGAATTGGGAGTTTTCTTTCCGCGTCATTAACTGTGGCCAGAGATGCTGAAGACGGCTGCAAAGAGGAGAATCGGGCACGAAAGACAACTGCATTCACTACTCGCGTGCCGTGTTCTGTGTGAACAGCCCACGTATAGACAGCTGCGAGCCCTGAATTGAGTTTTCTTTCCGCGTCATTAACTGTGGCCAGAGATGCTGAAGACGGATGCAAAGAGGAGAAAATACTATAGCAGGCAGAACAAGATCACTGTTCACAAATGCGCGGAATATAGGAATCCTAAATATTGAATTTTATATAAATGTGTTTTTGAGGGAAACTGGCTTTTTTCAGAAAAGTTTACATTAGTTTTGATACCTCAGGTGCTGCTGTGTTTACAGTAGTAACCAAGGAAACGCTGTATTACTATTCCATAAGCACCACCTGCTGGCTGAGAGTGTTTTTTTGAGCCCTTGGACTATTTTGTAGCATTGGCTACAAAATGACCACTTCAAAGACTGGGTGTTAAAAGTAGACGACAGAAAAGCAAAAACCACCACCAGTGTGCAGCATCCATTTGGATGATGCGACGGCAGCCACAGGACAACGGCGCCAGTGCGCTCACCACACACCAGCTACAGGTGGAGAGGTGAGAGAGTCATAGAGCCAGTCAAGTGGATGGGGATTATTAGGAGGCCATGATAGACTGGCCCATGATGGGGCCAGTTGCGGCAATTTGGCCAGGACCCTCTTACACCCCTGCTCTTTTACGAGAAGTGCCATGGGATTTTTAATGACCACAGAGAGTCAGGACCTCGGTTCTCATCTGAAGGACGATGCTTTTTTTACAGTATTGTGTCCCCATCACTATATTGGGGCGTTAGAACCCACACAGACCACAGGGTGAGCACCCCCTGCTGGCCTCACTAACACCTCTTCCAACAGCAACCTAGCTTTCCCAGGAGGGCTCCCATCCAGGTACTGACCAGGCTCAACACTACTTAGCTTCAGTGGGCAACCAGTCTTGGGCTGCAGGGTGATATGGCTTGGTATTCGTTTTAAAAATGGCTCGTTTAAATGATTCAGAGTCGACACTTTCTTTTGAGAGACAATAACTTTATACACTTTCAGATTTAGGTGCACTGTCAGATTTAAAACTTTGCAGGATGTTTTCATTCACTTAGAGCTGTGTTACACACTGCATGAAAGTTAATTTTCAAAAATCCATAATAGGGGCACTTTAACATCTATTTTAGCTAATAAGAGAAAATTCCCCGGGGGGGAAAAAAGAATCTTAAACATTTTTAGTTTTATTTTTAAAGAACTAAACCTGGCTATTGCCATGAATATAGCCATAGAAGTTGGCATTGCATTAAATAGAAAAGGAGTTAAAATAAATTTTAACCTGAAATCTTTAAAAAAGTTTGTTGTTTGTCAACTAAACTTTACTACTTACTGTGCAGTTGTATATACTGTACACTGCCTGCTATTTTTATTTAAATGAGTGAGCAAAACAGTAGGCATCCTTTACCCAATATTCCCATATTCCCTTTTAATTTGTTTAATTAATAGCGAGTGCTTTTCAGGCGAGAGCAGCAGAGTGATAGCTGCTAAGTCTTTTAGTCCCTATATATATATATATTTTTTTTCTCAGTTACCTCTTTGTCCCCACAATCAAAATAATATAAGCAGGTAAATCCGTGAATTAAAAACACAAATTTGTTCAGATAACAATAGGGGACAAAATTGCAATTCCTTACTGGCCTGCTTCACAAAAATATGCAAAATCCAAAACATTTATGGATGATAATGGAAGGCAGATTCAATTTTCATAAATGCTTCAATTAATTTTTTAATTTACCATGGTCATCGGCTGTATTATTAATTTTTGATGTTCTAAAGCCAAACGGTTTTCACTAGGGGAAAAAATATCTATATATTGGGTTGTATTTGATTTTTTTTTTTTATTATTATTTTTTAAAATTCTTATCGATGCCCAGATGGTTTCATTCAGTTTCGTATATATTTAGTATATTTGGGTTACTTCTCAAACGACATTGTTTTCATGTAACATGCTTCGTTTTATCTTGGAAATTTTTCTCTTGTTCTGTTTAATATTTCAAAATAAAAATAACAAGTGGACTTAAATTTTACATGGGCTTATTATGGTCATTTATTCTGTAGAGTAAAATCTCAAAATGGACAACTATTTAAACAGTTGGCATAATTCAAATATTTAAATGTCATTCTCTTTAAGGGAGTACTGAGAATAAACCCTAAGAAGTACATGGAAGCTTTTGTCCCGTCTCCTGTGAGTATTTTTTCACCCTTGTACATACTATTGAACATATACAGTGTACCCTTAAGTTAAACATACTATCGAACATTGAGTTGTGGTCAGAATTATTACTGGAACAATCCTCCTCGCCATGCTTTTGCTCTACCCCCTCTAATTTAACCTCTACCACCTCTAATTTTTTTTTTTAATGTAAGCTCAAAAGTGTAAACAATGCAGATTTATTTTCACTGCCTTCTTTGCTTATGTTTACCAAGGGGGGCAAATAGTTCTGACCACAACACAAATGGTTGCTAGCATAATCATGATTCTCATTCAAAAGTAACTGACCAGCTCTTTTTGATTAGTAGTGGGTGTTGCTTTGTCATTGTCCTAATTCTGATTAAGTGTAACTCTCATTTGATGCAAATTTTAATTGTGAATTGTATGTGATTTTTGTGGTACAGGATGGGTCAGCTGATATCTTTCTGGATGGGATTGCAGCTCGTAACAGGGCTCTCAATGGAGATGATGTTGTGGTGAAAGTCCTCCCCTCTGAACAGTGGAAGGTACTTTATCAAAATGTACTTAAATTTTGACAGGTAAGTAATTGGGAACTTATTCAATAATTTGAAGTTCTCTACCCATCTATTAATGACTTCCTGACATGGATTATAACTTCGGGAGCAGAACAATTTATTACCTCACATAACTCATTGCTAATTGTTATGGCTAATTGTGCCGTGATTATTTCCCGAGAAACATGTCTTTGTAAAAGCCAGTATAGCAGTATAGTTTCCAGTCACCAAATATAAATTTCATTGAACTTTTGAGATGTTGATAACAAATTTTCAGTGTAGTCTCAATGTGAAATAAAAAAAGCTGCATGCATAATGAAAGATGCAAATGCTGTTTAAAATTGTATTAGAAGACGAGTAGCATGTCAGGCTGTATGTCAGCTTCTCTTTGCATATATTATTAATAGAGTGCTTGAAAATGTACAGGTGCATCTCAATAAATTAGAATGTTGTGGAAAAGTTCATTTATTTCAGTAATTCAACTCAAATTGTGAAACTCGTGTATTAAATAAATTCAATGCACACAGACTGAAGTAGTTTAAGTCTTTTGGTTCTTTTAATTGTGGTGATTTTGGCTCACATTTAACAAAAACCCACCAATTCACTATCTCAACAAATGAGAATATGGTGACATGCCAATCAGCTAATCAACTCAAAAC